ATTCCAACACCTGGATACGTTTATTTGTGAACCATTCCATTGTAGATTTGGCTTTATGTTTTGGATCATTGTCTTGTTGGAAGATAAATCTCCGTCCCAGTCTCAGGTCTCTTGCAGACTCAAACAGGTTTTCTTCCAGAATGGTCCTGTATTTGGGCCCCATCCATCTTCCCATCAATTCTGACCATCTTCCCTGTCCCTGCTGACGAAAAGCAGGCCCAAACCATGATGCTGCCACCACCATGTTTGACAGTGGGGATGGTGTGTTCAGGGTGATGAGCTGTGTTGCTTTTATGCCAAACATATCATTTTGCATTGTGGCCAAACAGTTCGATTTTGGTTTCATCTGACCAGAGCACCTTCTTCCACATGTTTGGTGTGTCTCCCAGGTGACTTGTGGAAAACTTTAAATGACACTTTTTATGGATATCTTTGAGAAATGGCTTTCTTCTTGCCACTCTTCCGTAAAGGCCAGATTTGTGCAGTGTACGACTGATTGTTGTCCTATGGACAGACTCTCCCACCTCAGCTGTAGATCTCTGCAGTTCATCCAGAGTGATCATGGGCCTCTTGGCTGCATCTCTGATCAGTCTTCTCCTTGTTCGAGTTGAAAATTTAGAGGGATGGCCAGGTCTTGGTAGATTTGCAGTGGTCTGATACTCCTTCCATTTCAATATGATTGCTTGCACAGTGCTCCTTGGGATGTTTAAAGCTTGGGAAATCTTTTTTTATCCAAATCCGGCTTTAAACTTCTCCATAACAGTATCTCGGACCTGCCTGGTGTGTTCCTTGGTCTTCATGATGCTCTCTGCACTTTTAACAGAACACTGAGACTATCACAGAGCAGGTGCATTTATATGGAGACTTGATTACACACAGGTGGATTCTATTCATCATCATCAGTCATTTGGGACAACATTGGATCATTCATAGATCCTCACTGAACTTCTGGAGTGAGTTTGCTGCACTGAAAGTAAAGGGGCCGAATAATATTGCACGCCCCACTTTTCAGTTTTTTATTTGTTAAAAAAGTTTGCCACATCCAATAAATTTCATTCCACTTCACAATTGTGTCCCACTTGTTGTTGATTCTTCACAAAAAATTAAAATTTTATATCTTTATGTTTGAAGCCTGAAATGTGGCAAAAGGTTGAAAAGTTCAAGGAGGCCGAATACTTTCACAAGGCACTGTATCCAGTGTTTGTATAGCCGAAGAAGGAGCTGTGTCCCCACTCTTGGTACAGTATCAAGCTCATTATTGGTGCAGATTAACTCCACCAGGGCTGTCCCTTGTCTTTATGTTGATCATGGGCAAGAACTCAAGGTGCAGTTGTGGAGAGGAGGGTGTCTGGTTTGGGACTCTCAGGGTCTCATCTTTGCTTTATGAGGATGATGTTGTTCTTTTTCCAGTCCGTGAACTTTAGCGTCCACTGTGGTGGCTTACAGTTGAATGTGAAGCAGCTGGGATGAGAGTCATCATCTCTTAAGTATGAGGTCATTGTCCTCTACTGAAAACTAGTGGAGCACCCCCTCCTGGTCCGGAGAAGGGTTTTCCTCAGGTACAGGAGTTTAAGTGTCTGAGCAACTTGTTCACTTGTGATGGTAAGCTGGAACAGGAGGTGGATTGATGGACTGGAACCGCGTTTTCAGTAATGAGGCCGTTGTCTCGCTCAGTCGTGGTGAAGAAAGAGTTGAGTCTAAAGGCAAAGCTCTCAAGTTACTGGTCTGTCTACGTTACAACCCTCACCTATGGTCATGGGGCTTGGATCATGACCAAAAGAATGGGATCATGGATACAAGTGGCCAAAAATAACTTCCTTCAAAGGGTGGCTGGCCTCATCTTTAGAGATAAGGTGAGGAGCGTCATCTGGGGAGAGCTTGGAGTCAAGCCATTGCTCCTTATTGAAAGAAGTCAGTTGAGGTGATATGGGCATGTGCCTCTTGATTCCTCCCTTTGGAGGTTTTTTGGGCACGTCCCACTGGGAAGAGGCCTTGGGCAGACCCAGAACTCGCTGAAGGGATTGTATAGCTTCTATGGCTTCAGAAAATCTTGGGGTTCCCCAGAAGGATCTGGGAAGTGTTGCTGTGAAAGTGATGTCTGAATTTCTCTCTTTTGGACCTGTTGCCTCCATGACTAATTTCTCCATATTTTGTGCTATATGACTGATATCACAGATGAGAAGCTACTAACTATTGATAGCTATTTGACAGAAGATCATTTAAAAATGACCAGACTGTCCTCTTAAGTCTACTAACTGGACCATAAAAGTGGTCAATTAATTTCTAGTTCTTATGGAAGACAATTCAATTCAGTTTATTTATACAGGTCCTTCTCAAAAAATTAGCATATTGTGATAAAGGTCATTATTTTCCATAATGTAATGATAAAAATGAAACTTTCATATATTTCAGATTCATTGCACACCAACTGAAATATTTCAGGTTTTTAATTGTTTTAATACTGATGATTATGGCATACAGCTCATGAAAACCCAAAATGCCTGTCCCAAAAAAATAGCATATTTCATCCCACCAACGAAAGACAAGTGTTTTTAATACAAAAAACGCCAACCTTCAAATAATCATGTTCAGTTATGCACTCAATACTTGGTCGGGAATCCTTTTGAATGAATGACTGCTTCAATGCGGCGTGGCATGGAGGCAATCAGCCTGTGGCACTGCTGAGGTGTTATGGAGGCCCAGGATGCTTCAATAGCGGCCTTAAGCTCATCCAGAGTGTTGGGTCTTGCGTCTC